GCCTCCTCCCTGCCAATCAACAGACCTCCAGGTCAATCGACTACATCAACCAGCTGGTGTGTGCTAAGGGAATGCAAATTAATTTTAATATTAGGGTGAGAAAATATACTCAGGGAGGTCTAGCTCTGCAAGAAAATAGCACAAGTCACACTTCAAACAAACATAATGTCTCCGTATCATCTGCTGCTCTTGGAATATCTGTGCTTGGTATCTCTCCCTTGGTATGGAAGTGATCGCACAAGCTAGCTCCTGTGTGCCTCTCTGTCCCCAGCCCGTGCCAGACTGCCCACCCCAACCACGCCACTCCCCTCCTTTCTCTTCCTGGAACAGGCCAAACAGCGTAGGCCCCCAGGCTTTGCTCCTGCAGTAGTTCCCTCTCCCAGGACGCGTGCCTGTGTGTTTCCCTGGCTGGTCCCTGCCCTCTTCAGAAAGGCTTTCCCAGACCACCCTGTCTAGAGGGATACCTGCGCCCCACCCTGGGATGACTCCCCATCGTTTCTCGCCTGGGTTTATTGTTTTCACCGCTCTCCCAGCTCTCTGAAACCGGAACTCTGAGACCGTCTCATTTATTTTTGGTTTCCTTGTTTCTTGCTCTCTCCCTCTACTAGGATGCAGCTTCCCTGAGAACAAGAACGTTTTCTGTCTTGTTCAGCCCGGCCCAGATTCCCTGTTGCCTAGCACAGCACCCAGCACCGAGTGGGCATTCGACGTTATTTTCGGAATGAATGAATCGCTAAGCAGATCGGATCTGTGTGAATGAGCATCGGCGACAACATGCCCACGCCCAGAGAACGGGCCTGTGTTTTGTTTTACTTCCCGGCAGAGACAGTGGGGGTGTGACCTGGCAGGGATGGTAACCATGGCAATAACAGGCTTTCGCACCTTTTCTCCAAGCCGTCATCAGCCTCCCTTCTCCCTCCCTGATATGTGTACACATCCTTAACACTCCAGGCGGCAATCAGAACTTCCCCGAAACTCCATCCTCATTACTTTAACCTAGGAAGACTGAGCCCTTCTGATCTGCATCACACATCAGCCCCATCTACGCTCAGTTACCTGTGTTGACTTCTCTAAGCTCCGCCCCATTTGCTGATGACTTCTGGGGATTGCGGGGGTGGGGGGGGCAGGCAGAGCCCTGGGATGATGCCCTGGGATGACCACCTGGGCCCCATCTCCCAGGTCTGCAGGAGCTACCTAAAAATGGGCCTCCCCTAACTGCCCACCCTCTGCCACCCCTGAGGCCTGCCTGCACAGTCCACACTGATAGGAGTGACACCAAGGGCAGGGCGCAGGGAGAGGGCACTGGACTGCCCGGTGCAGGAGAAGGTGCCCTCGGCCAAGTGCTCTAATGGACAGAAATCACTGGGAGACAAATAGGCACAAGAAAGCAAAATTGGTTTTTTTGAACTTCTGCCCTGAAGACTATTGATTTGTTTGTCGATAGAAGACTTAGGCAGCATCTACTGAAATAGAGCACAGCCCCAGAGTAGAAGCAATTGCACAAATATAATCAAAATGGAAGGAATAGCAGCAAAGAAATAGGAGGTGAGAGAAACTCAGGTGCTAGAGCACTAAACCTCAGAGACACTGGAGATAACAGAGAATTTATCACTTTAATTATAAAGGAGCATATTTTACCCTGTCTCTGACAGGCAGGTATTAAAGGGCTGACTGTATTTTGCTAATACTTCTTGGAAATAAAACTTACCAAATAGTGGGCAGTAAAGAGTTATTGGTATATAAAAAAAAAAAAATAAAAA